AACCAATAGCGTTCTCTTGATAAAAGTAGGTCACTACAGGAGTCCCTCGCTAGAACGGGTTTACTCTTTCGATATGTAGAGGTTTAGTTCGTGGGACTGATCGGCAAACGTGCGATTGTAAGACGGAGGAATTGGCGAAACAGGAAGCGATCGCTGACCCTCGAGTTGCCAACGAAGGTCTTTTACGTAGAATGGTACCAGGAGAAGCGTGTGTGGGACAGATGCTAGTAACTTTGGATGGATGTATAATTTTTTTCTTTTGCTGGGACATGCTGAAAGTTGGCACATCGCTATATTTAAACTTTCTAAGATATAAGAAAACACCAGTGGCTGCAACAGGTGCACAACGACTGTAGCTATGTGATGCGATTGTGAAATCGGACAGTGTAGCTGCAACATTACCCAAATCGTTCAGATGCATAGTGTTACAGGTTTGTCTCTCGATTATGGTCAAATAGTATATCTTTTCAAACTCATCTCATGACTTCCTTAACTCCCTATAAAGTGTCGACCGATGGCAATCCACCAAGTTTGGTACTACTGGCTTCCACTTGTCTCTCATATCTTCCATTAAGTTCATTATGATCAGTCTAAGAAAAAAAGGTAACTGTAGGTAGGTTGAATCAGAAAATAATCAGAAGTTGTAGCTGTAACATAGACATGTCTGCGTGATGTTAGGTTTATGTCAAAGTGGAGTGGAACAAACTTATTATATCTCGTGTCTATATGGCATGTAAACAACACCATACATTTAGTACTGGAGCACTTGGTTAACTATACTGTAATAAAAAAATCTTTTGTAGCCATTGTGTTCACATAGCCGCACTACTCAGCTTTTTGGTTTTTCCCCAGAATTTCCACTGAATCTATGAAAATCTCCGAGATTCACATTGGTCTGGAGTTTTGCCCAAACGTTTTGGCGGACTCAGGTAGGAAACTATGGATTTTCACATGATTTTGAGTGAAGCCCCGATATTTTCTTAAAATCAGGAGGTTGATTACTTTAATTAACAGTCTTCAAAGTCACTTTCGAAATCTATCCGTCTGAAGGACCTTTAATCGACTAATCGTGGTTAAAAAGTAACGTACAGGTACACATAATCCGCAGTGGAACCAATTAAAGCTATAGTGCCGTAGATAGGAAAAAACAAAGCAATGCAGAAATCTTATTTAGCTACAGGATACATAGTAAGAAAGAAAAATTGAAGTGATCTACCAGTTAGAATATTTTAAAACTTATCCTCAAGTTACAACTGACGAGAACGTGACTTTCAAAGGAAATAAACCACTTCCTACATTAATTTTTGGAATCTAGAGGAGTCAAAAGACAAAGAGCCTGCTAAAAGACACGGACACGATCTGCAGTTAGTGGAATCTGTGATCGGAAATGTACTGACTGAAGAGGTTTCAGGAGTGCATATCACGAAAGCAATAAAATTTTATACATAGGTTGGAGGCGAGAACCAACTAAGAAGGGTCTTGAAGTTGATACTTGGGAATTTTGATTAGAGACGAAATTTTGAATAACAGGCCTGTCAGTGTCTAACCAGCATATTCGTTAAGTTACCTGAAAAGATAATTCGGGTTAAGTTGCTAAGTCACATAGATTCACACAATGTTAGCTCCTGAGCAACATGGGTTTCGTAACAAGCGTTCATGCTTGACTAACTTACTTATTGCGAGAGAGGACTGGACAGCAGTCCTAGATAACCGTCTGTTTGTCGATGTGATATTCATAGATTTTAGCAAGGCATTTGACGAGGTTTCACACTTAGGTCTTACGCACAAGCTCTCGAACTTCGGAATAATAGGTTCTGTACAGGAGTGGATAGGAAATTTCTTATGTGACCGCAAACAGAGAGTGAGGGTCAACGGAACGCTATCCGATTGGAAGCCAGTCAAAAGTGGTGTATCCCAAGGCATCACCTTAGGCCCTCTGCTCTTACTTCTCTACGTTAACGAGTTACCGCTGTTGCTTAGGTCGTCGACATTTTTGTTTGCGAATGACGTGAAAATCTGGGGAACATTGAAAAGTGGGGCTGATTATTTTGACCTCCAAGATGACTTAGACGAATTGGTTAGATGAGCCCGAGGTTGGGGCTTAGGAATCAATTCTAGGAAAAGTGTGCTAATGCACATCGGTCACTGCAATAGTTACTATCATACTACTGATGGTAAACCTCTTCCACGCATTCAAGAATGTAGACTTAGGAGTAATAATAAGTCATGGCTTGAAAACAACTACGGATTGCAACGCAGCTGTTGTCAAAGGTCTTCGTGAGTTATGGTCACTTCGCCGAGCATTCAAATGCTTTGACGAGGAAATGTCTCGAATTTTATATACCACCTGTGTAAGACCACATTTAGAGTACTGTATCTAAGCACCTGGCCCATGTCTGGTAAAGGATACCGACTCACTTGAGTGTGTATGAACAAAATTAGTGAAGGGTCTTTTTCAACTCCCTTGCGATGAGCGTTTAAAACGCCTAAACCTTTTCCCCTTGTCGTATCGCAGGACTCGAGGTGACCTTATACTGGCATTTCGTATCTTTGATCATGATTTGGGTGTTAATATGTTCTATCTTTCCGCTCCCTCCAGCACTAATAATCTCCGAGGTCATAGCAAGAAGGTTCACAAACCGCGATCTAATAAACTTAAAGTTGGGTCCCGTTTTTCTCGTCGAATAGTCATTGACTGGAACGCCCTACCCAAAGAAGTGGTATTAGCCTCATCAGTGAATATTTTCAAAGAAACGCTGAACCTTCATTGGAAGGCAATCTGTCAGGATTAACACAGGTTCACCAACCTACTATCCTTGTTACTGAAGACTAATGGGGTCCTGGTCCTGAGAACCCTTATGTATGATGGTCTTATTTTTCAAAGAATGTGAAAACCAGAGCTTTAAGACCAATATGTGAGTTGTTAAGGTAACTTTGACCAGAATGAAACGTACCGAAGACTTTAATCTGTAGCACCTTGCTGGACTGTATGGCGAGGGAGAGCTCAGACTCATCCTCAATCGTTATAAAGTCCCCATCTGAAGGGTGAACATGAGAAGTTTGCACTCACCTTCGTCCTTATATTTTACCAATAATTCATCTTCCTTTGTAATATACTGTTTGAAGACACGTTGCATCATTAAAATAAGTTCATCGTAAGTGATTTCCTCATTATGTATTGGGATTCGTCGCAAGTCATGTCCTAGTTGAGCTTTGATAATAAGTTTCCCAGAGAGATCCATGCTGAAACGCTGCAGCCTAATTTCGACCTTATCCGTGGTAATGATACGTCAGCAGCCAATACCTGACCTTAATGATCCAGACAGGTGCGGCCACATGTCCAATACTCAATGTACTGTCACATCCAATAATCCATGTGATGTTGTGAAACTGCATAATGGATGCCCAAAAAACACAGTAATTGAACTGTCATACCGCGACTAATAATATATGTTGGAGTAGGAATATTATTTTTTAGACTTAATCAATATTGATCATAATATTAAAATTATGCCAATAATAACCGTAATTGAAATTCAGAGATTATGTCGTCACACTGTTACGAGAGTAACGCCAAACCGTAGCCAAATGATCCACTAACCTGAATGCATGCTTATCTTGTAAGACTATTCTCTGGAAATTGAATCGTAGACGGAAATTAGGGGAGGTTAATGAAAACTAATACATATTCACTTCCCCAGTACAAGATTAACTTTATTCCTGATACATATATTACATCAACGTACTGAGGCTCCCAAGACAGCTAAATGATTGCCGCGTGAAAGACATTTTCGAGCCTTATTCATTTACCTCTCGTTCTGCGGCTAAGTGGTCGAACTTTTAAATCTTACCGTGTCAATAAATAAAAAATATAATATTTTAAAGTACTCTTATACACACATTTTTGAATAAAAAACCGCAAAATCAACCGTTCTGTGCATGTAATCTTTTCCGCTGCCATATGGTATACATGGTGGTTTTTCCTTAAGGTTTGCTTACCACAAAAGTGTTTACTAACAACAAGCCCGCGAGACTTAGACATATGGATGATCATGCCTTTAGGTTCTCATTACCCCAATAGGATGGAGGTGAACTGTGCCATCAAATAAATCACAAAAATAAAATTTTATTAGTCTTTGACATTGATGCGGACCTCATTAGTTTTACTGAGTAGACCCCTAACTGAGGATTTTCCGTCAAACATCCAGATCAAGTCATGTTTGTCTACATCGTGCTGAGCGTCTCTTATGAGAACCAGTTAAGTCAGACTTTATCCAAATATATGTCTTAACTCTCGCATTATGGGTCTCCGGTTTAACGGGCTTTGTGATTTTCAACTGTTGACGTGTTACGGAACACAGAACTGTGAATCCCTAAATGTCCCTGACATCTAAGAGCTTTATGTGACTTAGTGAAGGAGAAAATCTACTTGAAAGTTGAGGGCTGTAAAAAGGCCACAGGTACCCAGAGTTCTACGATACCTTTACCAGCAACACCCTATAATGGAAGTATACCAAGCCAGTCAAATCAGAAGTCAGAAATGAAGGGGTTTGAAGAAATATTTGAATGACTTTCGATATATTGAGAAGCGTTTGGTCTAAGCTGGCCGACAGTTGCAAGGGATGCATAGCATAGCGTACCCAAATGTGATATAAGTTGGACCACTGCCGCATGTGCCTGTCTATGGTACGTAATTTATCAATCCGCCTTAACCGCAATCGAGAAGAGGGATTTCGTTAATTTACCGAGATTTCGATATTCTACAATGTAAAGTACAAGAGGTCCAGCCTGGTAGGTGATCTGGATAGTACTCCGTCTCATTTCTTTGACTCTACAAGAAAAAAGTCACTAACCTTATCAACCCTTTCAGATTTTCTCACATTTATATTTGACTGTTTCCTGTGTTGAAAGAAAAGGTGAATTTGATGACATAATTGGCTTTCCATTATGCAGTTTCACAACATCACATGGATTATTGGATGTGACAGTACATTGAGTATTGGACATGTGGCCGCACCTGTCTGGATCATTAAGGTCAGGTATTGGCTGCTGACGTATCATTACCACGGATAAGGTCGAAATTAGGCTGCAGCGTTTCAGCATGGATCTCTCTGGGAAACTTATTATCAAAGCTCAACTAGGACATGACTTGCGACGAATCCCAATACATAATGAGGAAATCACTTACGATGAACTTATTTTAATGATGCAACGTGTCTTCAAACAGTATATTACAAAGGAAGATGAATTATTGGTAAAATATAAGGACGAAGGTGAGTGCAAACTTCTCATGTTCACCCTTCAGATGGGGACTTTATAACGATTGAGGATGAGTCTGAGCTCTCCCTCGCCATACAGTCCAGCAAGGTGCTACAGATTAAAGTCTTCGGTACGTTTCATTCTGGTCAAAGTTACCTTAACAACTCACATATTGGTCTTAAAGCTCTGGTTTTCACATTCTTTGAAAAATAAGACCATCATACATAAGGGTTCTCAGGACCAGGACCCCATTAGTCTTCAGTAACAAGGATAGTAGGTTGGTGAACCTGTGTTAATCCTGACAGATTGCCTTCCAATGAAGGTTCAGCGTTTCTTTGAAAATATTCACTGATGAGGCTAATACCACTTCTTTGGGTAGGGCGTTCCAGTCAATGACTATTCGACGAGAAAAACGGGACCCAACTTTAAGTTTATTAGATCGCGGTTTGTGAACCTTCTTGCTATGACCTCGGAGATTATTAGTGCTGGAGGGAGCGGAAAGATAGAACATATTAACACCCAAATCATGATCAAAGATACGAAATGCCAGTATAAGGTCACCTCGAGTCCTGCGATACGACAAGGGGAAAAGGTTTAGGCGTTTTAAACGCTCATCGCAAGGGAGTTGAAAAAGACCCTTCACTAATTTTGTTCATACACACTCAAGTGAGTCGGTATCCTTTACCAGACATGGGCCAGGTGCTTAGATACAGTACTCTAAATGTGGTCTTACACAGGTGGTATATAAAATTCGAGACATTTCCTCGTCAAAGCATTTGAATGCTCGGCGAAGTGACCATAACTCACGAAGACCTTTGACAACAGCTGCGTTGCAATCCGTAGTTGTTTTCAAGCCATGACTTATTATTACTCCTAAGTCTACATTCTTGAATGCGTGGAAGAGGTTTACCATCAGTAGTATGATAGTAACTATTGCAGTGACCGATGTGCATTAGCACACTTTTCCTAGAATTGATTCCTAAGCCCCAACCTCGGGCTCATCTAACCAATTCGTCTAAGTCATCTTGGAGGTCAAAATAATCAGCCCCACTTTTCAATGTTCCCCAGATTTTCACGTCATTCGCAAACAAAAATGTCGACGACCTAAGCAACAGCGGTAACTCGTTAACGTAGAGAAGTAAGAGCAGAGGGCCTAAGGTGATGCCTTGGGATACACCACTTTTGACTGGCTTCCAATCGGATAGCGTTCCGTTGACCCTCACTCTCTGTTTGCGGTCACATAAGAAATTTCCTATCCACTCCTGTACAGAACCTATTATTCCGAAGTTCGAGAGCTTGTGCGTAAGACCTAAGTGTGAAACCTCGTCAAATGCCTTGCTAAAATCTATGAATATCACATCGACAAACAGACGGTTATCTAGGACTGCTGTCCAGTCCTCTCTCGCAATAAGTAAGTTAGTCAAGCATGAACGCTTGTTACGAAACCCATGTTGCTCAGGAGCTAACATTGTGTGAATCTATGTGACTTAGCAACTTAACCCGAATTATCTTTTCAGGTAACTTAACGAATATGCTGGTTAGACACTGACAGGCCGGTAGTTAGATACGATGTCTCTGACCATCCTTAAATATGGGACTGACTATAGCGTCTTTCCAATCTCTAGGGAGTTGGGCGGGTGAAAGGGATTTGTTGAAGAGTGTCGCGAGCGGTCGTGGAATAATGCCCGCAAGAGATGAGAGCAGCAGTGGATGTAACCCATCAGCGCCCGGTATCTTACAAGGTTTGAGGTTAGTTACCAGTGGAAGAACAATTTCCCTAGTCACATGTCCAGATTCTATGACTGGTATCTCGGTGTTATTGGGACAAGTATTTGTAACAATAAACGTAGAGTAGACTTCGCTAAAATAGTTTGAAAAGGTCTCAGCTTATGCCCGATGTAATTCAGCTAAACGCATGAGATAACTACGTCACAGTAACCTTGTTTCCTTACAATTCTGCCACATAGTGCTCGTTTTGAACCACTCATCATTCTTTTGATCCAAACTTTTTGATCTAGAAAGGACCCAAATACATCGAATTTCTGTTGTAGTCGCAACAGGATAGCTGTTTCTGTATCTTAAAGTCTGCTTTATATTCTATGAAAATGATTAAATGTCTCCACTGTTATTAAATCAGTTGCGTTATAACAGAATTAATAGCTGTGATAAGAGACTTGCCGGAAAAAGGAGTTATTTTCCTTAAAAAGAATTAATATAGTACTTAGTCTAATCATTCTAATACATACAACCCATCCAAAAATGTCGACTTCTTTCAGATTTCATAGAAAAAGTGTGATTTTCAGACGAGACCCAATTATCATCATTATTTGGGATGACGTCCACTCAGATTTGAGTTCCTGACTTAATGTTATCGTTTAAAGCCTACACAGTCGTTCATTTCTTTCTCGTTTGTAGGCGTCTAGGCGGACGTTAACTTGAGAAGAGAAAAGTGGTTTTTCATATACGAATTTCAGTGCATTTATGTTTTCATGAGAGTGCCCGTATATTTTAAGCACTTTTGGGTACTACGTCCAAGACTTGAGTATTTGTAAACTTTAACTGACCTTCCAGTTTTTTGTTTATTTGCACGAAAGTATTGCTTAACGATTTTAGGTGAGTAAATATACTGTGCTTCGTTCATGACAAAGCAATAGAGTTTTAAAAAAATTCTGCATTTTTGTGAAGTGATAGGGGATCGTGGAAATAACTGACTAACACTAGTTAACATTATACGGTGGTTTAGTTGGGAAGTCATTCATTTTTCAGTCATTCAGTTAGGGGACAAACTCCCCTCTACCTGTTTTAGTTTAAGTGACCAGATATTTTAACTGTTGTAACCGTGAAGAGGAAAAATAAGAGTATTGCCGTTCGCGCGAATCGAGCTTATTATGCAACAGCTAACGTGCGCAATCAAGATAACATGTAATATATCCGTCGTGTGCGTTTTTTTACCCCTATAGTCCTCATAGCCATTTGTTTTTATTACCAATTAGTTGCTTCCCCGAAGCTATCCTCAGATATTAAATTCATCTCAGTAGTTTCGAAACACTTGACATCTCAACCTGGTATGTTTAACGCCCACATCCTTATATGACCTAAACAAAATACATGTTTGTCTGGAATTCAAAAGTACCGTGTTTTACTCCATCTGTTGACTGAGAGGATGTTTGATAAACGCTTGTCCAAGGGTCATGAAGCATCACCTATCCAGTTTAGTTAGAATGAACACTACATAACATTGTGAAACTCTGTGTTAAGTGACTCGCTTCCTATTGACAATTGTCCATGTCCTATTAGATTTAAATATTCAGAAGGAATGAAAAATAAACAGGAAGATCAATTAATTTCTATTGATTAATTGGGTCTGAATTTTGTGTTTTCTAGTGAAATATCGTAACATTTGATAAAAGTCAGTGCTCATTCTCAGACTCCAGAGTTACATCCAGTTCCAAGGAGAAAGTACCGCTGGGACTGTCTTACGAAGACAGGTGTCTGAGAGATGTTATTCACTATTCGAAACCAATTGAAAAGTTATGTGTGGCCTTTGTATTTGTCACTTCCTACTTCTACCAGTGAACTTCCCAAGACGATTCTAAAGAAAGTGGATGATAATAGCGTTAACTTAAGATATAGTGCGTTCTATATCACCAAATTATAAAGTAATTTTACCTTACAGGTAGGGACACTAATTTGGTTGGTAATAGGATGACACTGCTGGACATTTTAGCTCTTGCATGAAGCTCAAATAGCTTCGACGAGTAACAATCAGTATAGCGTGGGGCAATGATACAAATCAGTTAAATAAACAACACTCATTTATGCCTCTTAAATATTTTACGCATTTCAAAACCTTTACATAATATTCAAACATAAATTTTATGGGCTCTAAAATTCTGCGATATCGTTGTTATATTGAATTCGTATTTGCTGCCAGCACAAGTTTCTGTGTAAACGAAAGGTTAAAAGAAGTACCGTTTCTCGTTCTTGTAGAACCATGAAATCAATAATCTACGATTTTCCATCTTTGCATGGCTTCCGCTTTGAAAATGCTGCTATTTCTCAGTGTAAAAGCTGCACTTTGAATATAGCATTCCAAATGTATTGCCAGCTACGATAGTTGTCCGACAAATACGGCTTTATTACTACTGATATGCAAGTAGTATCGTTCAAATGTTTAATTTCAGAATCGGACTGGTTACGTACGAAGTTACATACGAAGCATGTAACACCAATCGGAGTTTTTTCTATCATTTAAAATCATTTTTCGTCAAATGCATTTGATTCCCCCTTATGACTGTTTGGTATATCCACTGTCTAGATAAACTAAAAATAAATGCTAAGCCATACACTTTCAAACTTCTACAGTGTTCGTCTTCCAGTTAAAAGTTGAAGTTCACCTTCCGTTATGCTTTCAGCCAATATCCTTTTCTTTCCCAATTATTCAGAAAAATGGACATCAATGTCTGATATTTCTGGGAAAGAAATATATTATTTCATAAGAAACGCGCTTTCTGCGTAAGCCACATCTCATCTATTTCAGTATAGGATTTCTTGGGCGTAAAGATAGGTTTTATGCTTAGATATCTTTGTTTCTTGGTTTAAATGATAGTATGCTACGCCTAACTTATAGAAGTTGCTGGTTTCGGCTCAAGTTTTTGGATTTCACTCAACAAAAATATTCTTTGTGTGGATTTGCCGTTAGTTTAAAAGCAGCTAATACTCTGTCATCATAATTTAGAAAAGACTCCTGGTTGCCTTTATGTGGTTGTTACACTTTTGTAGATAGCTCGTAAATAAATGAGTAAACTTTATTGATTGAATCACACCTAAACTGGGCTAACTATTTCAGTCACCAGACCTTGACATTAATTCATATTTCTAAATAGAAGGCTCGAACTTCTCCAGTCTAAATTCATTCATTTGTAATCGAATTGGGATTACCAATTGTAGCGTGGCGTCGAGTTGAGATTAACTATGAACACCGCTACCAAGAAACACGTGCCAATTAGATCAGAAGGCGTAAGAAGCTCGTTCCAAATGACTCCATAAAATCCCCGAGAAGCCAAATACCAGAAGGCAAATAATGGACCAAGTCGATGTTTATTTGCTGGCGATCTCGTGGCATCGAAAGGATACCGAGATCGTGCCAGGATACAAGCTTGGTTACAGAACGTAACCGAATCCGCGCGAAGTCACAATCAAAGTGTAAGTAAAAGAATGGAAGCACAAAGTAGCTGTCATTAGCACAGTCAAACAAAAGCACGTTAAAACAAACACTGGTACAGTTGGTTATAATAATAATTGTTTTTATTAAACCAGTCGTGTTCTCGTGATAAACGTGAGTCACTACAGGAGCCCCCCGCTAGAAAGGGTTTACACTTTCGATAAATAGCGGTTTGAATCGTGGGACTGGTCGGCTGACGAGCGATTGTAGGACGGAAGAATTGGCGAACAGGAAAGCGATCGTTGATCGTCGAGTTGCCAACGAAGGTCGTTATCGGAGAACGGTACCAGGAGCGATGTGTTGTATTTATTGCTCGAGTCGGCATGCTACACCAGAGTGGTTTGTATCCAGAATCTGAAGAGGGCGTTCGTAGAGGTGCGCACCAGAAACGCTGCAGACGTAGGACGAAACCACGTTGAGCCGAAAGGCCAGAAGCAACCGTTACGACCAAGTTCGTGACCAAGCGTGTGCCAAGCGTTCGAAACCAATATATCGACTGAGTGCGTTGACAAGAGCATGGGTGGCCAATCCAGCTTTCGCCAAAGTTGACTGAAGTCGACGGAACCAAACGGAGATGGTCGAAGGCGTGGGCTCAGGAAACGAAAAGAAAATCAAAAAAGAAGAGTGTAGCGTGCGTGTAGTATAGGAATAATCCTACACCGTATCGGTTGTTGACTGTGCGACTATTCGCGGAAGCGTACGGGTAACCGTACTCGGCGACCGGAACGTGAGACGGCAGTCTCGTTCGCGTCGCGTGAGCCTGCAATCTCATCCGAGGTCAGAGGCGGCGTGGTCTGCTGATCTGGACGTGAGACTATCGTCTCGTCCGTAGACGGTGCAGATGACGCGTGCTGTTGACCGGGACGTGAGAATGAGGTCTCAGATGCATCTAGCGTGGGACCTGAAGATTTAAGGATCCCGCTAGGTTTAATAGGTCTAGCATTGAATCTCAGGTTACCAGATAGGGCACTGTCATCGACGTGTGCTGGTTTGAGATGATCAACGCTGACGATCTCGACGCGTCCATATCGATCAACCTTGAAGGTCTTTTCGTGACGAGCGATCACGTGAAAAGGGCCTTCGTAAGGTTGTTGCCAAGGTTTGCGTACCGAATCTACTCGTACAAAAACATGTGAACAGGTAGATAACTCTCGAGGGAGAGCGACCTGTCGATGTTGTATTCGAGTTGACACCGGAGACAGCGTTCGCATAAATGCAGACAGTCGATGGACGTAGTCTGATTTACCGAAATTAGGTCTGCTCCGTGGTGTGAAGAATTCTCCGGGCAGACGCAATGTCGTGCCGTATACAAGTTCAGTGGCGGAACATTGGATATCTGCCTTTAAGCTCGTTCTCGCCCCCTAAAAGAACGAGCGGTAAGGTTTCGTGCCAGTTGCCGTTTTCGTGTGCTCGTAGAACACTTTTAAGTTGGCAGTGAAACCGTTCAACTTAACCATTTGGTGCTGGGTGGTAGACGGATATGCTTATGCGTATGCATTCCGTACCAAGCAGCCGGGTCAGCGAAGAGAATCGTTAATAGGGTAACATTTCTCGAATAAAGCGTGGAATTCATCATCACGCGAATAGTGACAAGGATTCGGTACACATACGTGTGAGTCTATTATATTAATACTATTCTTATCGTTATCCGTCATGTCGCGTATATTATATATTAAAAAATATGAAAATATACGACAGACGTGGATAGATAAATCATAGACTCACCGAATTGGCTTCTTTGGAAGATTTGGTCAGAAGTTGAGGCGTGTTCCAAAATACGGGTCACCAATTGTATTCGAATTGGGATTACCAATTGTAGCGTGGCGTCGAGTTGAGATTAACTATGAACACCGCTACCAAGAAACACGTGCCAATTAGATCAGAAGGCGTAAGAAGCTCGTTCCAAATGACTCCATAAAATCCCCGAGAAGCCAAATACCAGAAGGCAAATAATGGACCAAGTCGATGTTTATTTGCTGGCGATCTCGTGGCATCGAAAGGATACCGAGATCGTGCCAGGATACAAGCTTGGTTACAGAACGTAACCGAATCCGCGCGAAGTCACAATCAAAGTGTAAGTAAAAGAATGGAAGCACAAAGTAGCTGTCATTAGCACAGTCAAACAAAAGCACGTTAAAACAAACACTGGTACAGTTGGTTATAATAATAATTGTTTTTATTAAACCAGTCGTGTTCTCGTGATAAACGTGAGTCACTACACATTCTTGATAGGTTTTGTTAATGATTTTTTTTCAATTTCCATAGTTGTAAACAAACCTGAAATATTACAATGTACTGCTCCATTTAAAAACAGAAAAGACGGTGAAGCTAAAAAACTCGAATCAGGGGATACGTTTTCTTTAGTTTATGAACTTCAACGGCTTGGTAACCACATCCTAAACGTAGCTGATCGTATTCAAAAAACGTTTTCTGCCAACAATTCCATGGATATAGCTTTCACTAACTGTAATCGACTTGAAATAGTAAACAAAACAGACGTAAGTATTATCTGCCAACCATTTTCCACTCAGAAAAATTGTTATTTTTCAATTGGATATAATTTGATTGATCATGATTAACACTCGGTAGCAATTTACTGAAACTTATATGAGTCTAAACTGCCATTTATACTTACTTGCCGTTGTCCATTGTCTGCATCACATTCCTATTACTATATTTTTGATGCTTTCGATAGGGTCCGCATGCCCATTTTTCTAAACCTACAGTCAGAATACCAGAAAACCTATCGAATGGTTGCGAACAATTTCATTATGTACATCCATAACTCACGATAATATGTATAGGTGAGATATCAAGACTACTCTAAATAATAAGTTTTAATGGATACACAACTAGGACATTTGCAATCCAAAACTAATAAATTCTTAGTTGATTGATTGTAGTCTATGAGCGGCAAAAGTGATAACAATAGCCGATAGGTCAAAAAATAGCTTACTGTCAGGACTACACAAAAGTCCCACAGACTAAATTTTTAATGAATACAAATTAGTAGTATATTAGCTTATCGAGAAACAAAAGCAAATTAATTTTACTTTTGTTCCTGTTCCATCCTATCAACTGTTGTATGTATGGTTTAGGTGGTAACTTACGAATTTTGGCGTCCTTACAATACAAAAGCTGACAACAATATCATATCGATGCGGTAATATTTTGTAGAATTCAAAATGTGTTGAGAAATGTCATGGTGATCATTTTATTGGTACGTAATAAAATAGGTTATTTAGTTCATATAATTCCTGACTACCTATTCAAAAATAACAAATGTTATATATCGTATAAAGCACCACGGGGCATAAGTAGAAATAGTTAACGTTGTAAGTTACAACCTCATCAAATCTAGATGCTGCAGCTTTCTGATCGAAGGTCTTAATAAGTAGTATTGAACATTACATTTATGTAACTTGAATAATGTGCAGTTTTCGTATATTACTGTCTGGATAACATTAAACAAACCATTTGATTGTTTTACAAAATTTGCGTGAGAACACGTTTGTACTCATACAATTCCTAAGTCGTTAATGTATCTGTACAGTGTTGTTAACTAAAATATATCCTTCTACGCCTAATTTAGAAAATGATTCTATTTTTCTCTTTTGTCACAGTCAATATGCAACCCGGAGAGTAACAAGGAATTCGATCCGTTATCTAATGTCCGATCTACAGATGTTACAATCTCTTCTCCAAATCCACCCATCTACTTGTCATCAATCAACAGTTCAGATAACATTTCGAAATCAAAATCTTGTGTGCGTGTAGATAATAGAATGATTTTAGCATGATTTTCGTGGTGTCCAATTCACATAAGACACATGACTGTGCTTCTCTGTATTGTGGTTAACTTGCGTCTACAACCCGAAATTAGTCTTTCACTGATCATGTCGATCGGGGTAACCGGAAATTACCAGCTAATCACACAACACAATTAAACTTAAGTTAAAATAATGGGTAGAATTTTGACATATGTTGTTCTTCACCCTATTTACTTTTCCAAAACCCACCTCAATATCAGTGAAAGTCGTCACTTTGAAGTAGATCCTGTCGCAAGCAATATATGGCAAATTTCTTGACGGGTATATTAGTCCCTTGAATATACCCATTATATTTTACATATAATGATCTTTAGATCCAATATATTCTCAGGATCTACTAGTGTAATTTTCAATGTAGGTGCCCATAAAAGCGGCAAAGCCTGGGTTCAAATGCTGAACCAGAGTTAATCTCTACTAATCTATCAGATATCTTGTGTGGTTAAGACCACAAACATAATCACATAAATTGTCTCCAAATAGTTAAATGTCAGGAATTGAATTAATTGTAGTAGACAGATTCAGCAGTATTTTCACCCATATAAATAACTTAGTGATAATAAAACGACACATTTCTTTGTTGTTAACTTCGTTTTTTCGTGTGTATATTCTAATACATATGCTTTTTGCATAATTATTATCATTCTAGATCCTATAAGTTCATATTCCTTTTGTCAGAAGCTTTCGTTCGATTCATTATTTACCAGGCACAATCCAGCATTTCTAATTTTAAATAGGAAATTAAGCCAGGATTACTAGAAATCTATGGAAATCTTTAAATAGAAGCACATGTTTTATGGGTTAACTGACGATGAACGTGACAGGTTAAAGGAATAAATAGATAAGTTATCGACGAAACGTTCAGAGGATATGAAGGTTCAGTTGATGAAAATTCTGAATTCAGTAATAGCGAGCTCTTCTTTTCGAGAAACACTTGAGAAATACGTCTCTAACTACTTCAACACCACGTTATCGAAAACGTAATTACGGGCACTGTCTGTAGGTCCAAAATTCCGTAATGCCTCCAGAAATGTTAGTGAGCCCAGCACAACAATTCAGTTTGATAGCCTGATTCGTCGGACGAAAGACACTACATCTGTATCCAACAAAGCACGTGAAAAATTCGAAACAGTCACTGTAAGTTTTAATTAATATATACCAATACAAAACGAACAACTGAAGGACTAATTTCTATAGAACATGAATCATAACTATTTGTTCTATTGAGAAACAAAGATATGGTGTTAAGTTTTCTGGATAAAGGTTCTGGCATTGTTATAATTGATCAAAAGGACTATATTTCAAATGTATTCTGTGTTCTCTTTGACAACAATCGATTTCCCAAAAAAAAACATTCATAAGAATGTTGCGTATCAAAGTGAGGAGAATTTGAATAAAATCCTTGAAAAAATAAATGATAACTCAATTGTCAGTGGAAACCTCTATATAAGACTTAAACCAACGAAATTCATTATACCAGAATTATATGGCCGATCTTAAATGTATAAGAAAAATACCTCCCTATGCCATATACAGGATTTGAATAACTCGCCATACAATGCCATCACCGAATGGTTAACTGGAATTCTACGACCAGTCAGACGTCAACTCAATAGATATGTAGAATTTTGGTCTATTTCGTTATTAGTACTATTATAACAATAGACCTTATCCTAAAATAGTAGATATGTCATGATTATACTGCCTAATCAATAAGATCTTTCGTGGACGTCACACTCGTGTCTACATTTACTCATCGAAACATAAAGATTAAAAATCTGATACTCAGTTACTTCTGAGCAACACATTCAGGCTAAAGATCGAATAATATATTTAAAGTTAATAAACACAGGTTCTCCAGGATGTCCACGTCTATGAGGCTGAGCCATGCCGATCGATTGAATTTACTGATCGTTCCCGCATTCATCATTATTGACCTTCTCTACACGTTAAATTCTGAACATCTATTTTCCTAGATATTTTATGTTCAGCTTTGAGGGTTGTGTCGTTAGGACCAATACCATCACAGATACACTACTGCTGAGTCATTTGATTCCGTTTATTCAGTATCAAGTATCAACGTAACCGGAAGAAATCTGACGTCTCCTTTCTTTTTACAAATGTACCCCTAACGGAAACAATCAGTCTGTTACATCATTATATTAAAAATAACAAACTTATGTCTTTATTTAAGTACATAAACTGAAAGAAATCCTTCTATGCACTCCCAGTGTCTAATTTAAATTTAACGAGTTTTGGAGACAAATTGACGCCCTAGCAATGGGGTTATCACTCGAACAATTTCTGGCTGTCTGTTTAATTGCCGATCTGGAAAACAATATGTTAAAACCAATAACTGAGTGCCATTTATAGAAGAGATGCTTAAACAACACTTTCACTGTGTTGGATAAAAATATCAACGTCAACGACACCCTGAAAACATTTAACACTATCATCAACCAATCTGGTTCACAAGAGAATCAGAGTCGAATTCAGAGTTCTACTCCCTAGATGATTTAGTAAAAAGGAGACCCGGCTGTTTCCTACAATGATCGATATGCAGCAAGTCAACATCGAACGGTTGGGTCCCACTGAAGTAAAAGAGGACTCTAATCTGTTCTTTCTGTTCGAGGGCTCGACGATCTGAATCGAGAATACAATTGATACCCAGCTTATTGAACTATTTCAGACACTGACTAACAATGGACATCCACCTGTATCCAGTCGGAAAAAGCTGAAGCAAAAAAACGGCAACATGAAAAAATGGCCACAGCAACAAAGGAAACTTTTCATAAATGCTCAGTTTGAAGGAGACACTGCGGAAAAAATTCTGAAAAACAGACTTTCAAGATCTCTGAGTAAAACGATCTATTTGCCTGAACTTTGCATTATGTTTCCTGATCAGTCTATGATTCGAAATTCTGTGGATGATAAGCATCCGCTTTGTGCTAAATCAATGCACATTTATCTATTTGCTTAATTTAAAGCAGGTTATACTGGTAGCAAATCCTAGTTCATTTGAAACTCATCTCAGAAGATTACACTGCCTACATCTCCGAAGGATTAAAAAAGTCAGTGAAAAGCTCAGTCTATGGGGATCTAGTCAATTCCGGCCACTCTACTCCATCAGAAGCCCTCTTTAGTATAACATAGAAAGTCATGGGAGTCGACTTAATAGGACTGCAATTGAAAAGCCTATGTACAAAAGGGGCCATTGCTATCCACCAGTCTAAGCTTAACATTCGCATACAAGGACAGTATGTTCAGTCCCTCATTCATTCATCGTCATAACCTCCCTTTTTATCTGCTGCTATAATTTTAATAACTGTTCTTAATTGTTTCACCTTGCCACTTTTTCGCTTGACGATTGTCAAATAATCTCCTACCAATATCTGATTTTCGATTCCTAAAAACATACCACTTCAAGTTCTCCATTAATTAGCACCTTTTTATCTTAATATGAAAAACTATTTAAGCAAATAAAAAACTGATTATAAATGCGGTTGTACCGTTTAAGTATGTGGAATCGTTTAAATGGGAATGTTCTTCGCTGAATTGCCTTCATACCTCTCCATTGACACAATGGGTTTTTTTCGTTATTCATAGTTTATTCTCAACCTATTATTCACAGTTTCCCACACTCAGCTACCTTTGGTCCTGTCTTGTATAGCTTTTTATTTTATGCTTTGATTCTGTCTGGTGTGCTTGTGTATAAGTAACGTACGTTTGAAATATAGTATTCATAAAGCGGAGGCTGATTATCGTGCTCTAGACTCAACTGGCGGGGAAAATAAGGAAGGCAATATATCGAGGACTGATAAGAATTTGGAGTTGAGTCAGGGATACTAGTGCAGGTTGTCTTAACACTTGTTAGTTATGATACTAGGCCATAAGACTCGATATTCTGGTTGTTGGTTTTTGTCACGTGATATCAGATAGGACCGTAAATTCTAACAGTCAATATAACAGGTCCTAGAATCATTTAGAGCGAGTTAACAGTTTTCGCCTTCCTTTCATTGCTGTGTGTATCAAGGCCACTTGGCTTATAACCGATGGGCTAAAAGAAAAATCAAAGCTTTTTGATTAAACTTTTGCTACTGTCAATGCTATTGAATGGCTAAAGAAATTAATCGATCGATCAGCTGTATGAAAATATCCGGGTCATTATTTTACACTGACTTCAAGCTTCGAAAAATCTGATACGTCGAGTCCTCAGACCACTAATCGAAAACGTCCAGTTCCAATCGAAATAACGTACTTTACCTGAAATGGAGTGATTTAGTTTAAACACAGCTACTAAACATTCCGACTCATAGGGAGGCATAACTTTTGTGTCTTATACCAACTATAAATCACTAACAAATAAGTCAAATGACGGACCTAATAATCATTTGTTCACCTGACATTTAATCTCAGTACCGCCATCTTGTTTGAAAAACCAGTCAACAGATACACCCCGGAAAGTGAATCTAAATGCCCTTCAACAATTTACAATCAAGTTTAAAGGCTTAAAGGAAAAGGGAAAAAGACATACAGAAGTTAAAATCTTTCTATTAAGAACTGTAGTTTCAGACTGAAGCAGTTACTATGGTGATTGCGAACTTGAAGCAGAACTAATAATCAGATTGACCTAGACTTCACGTTTTGACTTGTATTACTATCAGATTGACTTATGTTCTTTGAAGACCAAAGGAATTGTCCTGAATGGTAGGATTTCATATTGTACATCGCGTTCATCCTGCAATTCACTTTGTTTCACGTCTTGGTGATTATCTCATTGATTCATAATCGTTTTTAGATAACGTGCAAGTGTTATAAGCTTCAAAATGTCGGTTGACGTAGATCTAGAGTAATAAAAGGAATAAATACGGTGTCAGTATCCTTATACGTATTCAAACGAAGCGAAATTTAGAATAAATTTTATATGAGTCTCTTAGATGGTTGCTTATGATGGTCGCGCTTTCTATAAACAATAAACCTTGGCCTCATTCTACCATAGTTGTTGCCTTTCTTCGATACAAAGGAGTATCGTTACTATTTATAAAACCACTAACTCATGGGCTATAGTAATTTTACATGGAATTTTTCCTTTTAAAAGAAGAGTTTTTAACACAATATCGTTTTTTACTGGATGTTAATCAGTTTTTTGTGCCTCAGACGACTGAGATCCGAGCTAACATGTATACTACGTGTAGCTAAGTGCTTGAAGGTGTTGTCAAGCCAAAACAGGAGTTTCTCAACTGCTAGGTCTTAACGGCCCGACCAACAACGATGGCGACGCCGCTAACCTTCTGGCGGCCCATTACTCTCAAACATTTCAACCGGCTGACATCAACTTTATTGACGACAGTTTCATCTCCAACTCCACAGGACTTTCTGAAGTGGACCTAAGCGCTGACTTGGTGTTCCGGAAATTGCAGCACTTAAGACTAGACACTTCTCCTGGCCCGGATACGGTTCATCCTGCCATACTGAGGGAGGCAGCCTCAATCCTGGCAACGCCGCTTAGCGTGATATTTTCTCA